GGGGACGACACCTTACCTTGCATCGAGTATAAGAGTCTTGAGCGTTTCCCCAAGAATTTGTTTCCCGTTTTTCTTCACCCACCTTTCGTTTAACCAAGCTTCACTCGTTTATAGCATTCGTTAAACCAAATCCATCAAGATGCGAGGTCTCGTTATTCTCAGTGCGGCTGTCAGCCTGGCTAATGCCGCTGTTGTCGAGAGGCATTACCCTGTTCCTGGACAGGAGGAGTACCCTGCTGTTCCCGACAACGAGTACACTCCCCCGGCGGCTGCTTACCCTCCTCCTGCCGTCGAGAAGCCTTCCACCCAGCCCTCTAACGAGTACCCTCCTCCTGAGGCTACTAAGCCTTCCAGTGGTGGTGCCTATCCTCCTCCTTCGGAGACCAAGCCTGTGACTCCTCCTGCGGAGACTCAGCCAACTGGCGTTTACCCTCCTCCCGAGAAGAGCACTGATGTCTATCCTCCTCCCGAGAAGAGCACCGACGTCTACCCTCCTCCCGAGAAGAGCACTGACGTCTATCCTCCTCCTGAGAAGACAACTGGTGTCTACCCTCCCCCTGAGGAGACCACCAGCGCCTATACTCCCCCTGAGGAGACCACCGGTGTCTACCCTCCTCCTGAGGAGACTACTGATGTTTACCCTCCTCCTTCCGAGACCAAGCCTGAGGAGCACAGCTCAACCGAGACTCCTTACCTCCCTCCCACCGAGACTCTTCCTTCCGCCGAGAGCTCTACCGAGACACCTTACCTTCCTCCTTCTGACACTCTCCCTGCCGAGGGTACCTCAACTGAGACTGGTTACCTGCCTCCCACTTACACGAAGCCTTCTTACACCGAGCCAACCTACACAAAGCCTTCGTACACCAAGCCCGGCTACCCCGAGACCTCTCAGTGGACCACCTCAACCATCTACACCACCCAGGTTCAGACCGTCACCAAGTGTCCTCCTGAGGTCACCAACTGCCCTGTTGGCCCTCACGTCACCACCGTGACTATCCCCATCTCAACCACCATCTGCCCCGTGACTGAGGAGCACCCCTCTTCTGTGTACCCTCCCCACCAGGAGACCACCAAGTTGACCACTTCCACCATCTACACCACCAAGGTGCACACTGTCACCAAGTGCCCTCCTGAGGTCACTGACTGCCCTGAGAAGCCTCACGTCACCACTGAGACCATCCCCGTCTCTACCACTGTCTGCCCCGTGACTGAGACTCACGTCGTTCCTCCTGTGCACGAGACAACCACCAAGCTGACAACCTCAACTGTCTACACCACCAAGGTGCATACTGTTACTAAGTGCCCTCCTGAGGTTACCAACTGCCCTGAGAAGCCCCATGTTACCACCGAGACCTACGCTGTCTCTACAACTATCTGCCCTGTGACCGAGACTCACGTTATCCCTCCCAAGGAGACTCAACCCATCGTTATTCCTCCTGTTCACCCTGGTAACGGCACCTGGACTCCTCCCAAGCCTCAACCTCCTAAGGAGTCTCACCCCAGCTACCCTCAGCCTCCTGCTCCTCAGCCCCCCAAGGAGACTCACCCCGCTCAGCCTCCTGCCCCTCAACCTCCCAAGGAGACCTACCCCGCTCCCCCCAAGGAGACCCAGCCTGGCGTCACTCCTCCCAAGGAGACTCACCCCGCTCAACCTCCTGCTCCTCAACCCCCCAAGGAGACACAGCCCGGTGTCACTCCCCCTAAGGAGACACAGCCTGCCCAGCCTCCCGCCGAGTCTCACCCCAGCTACCCTCAGCCTCCTGCTCCCAGCAAGCCTGCCGAGACTGCTCCCGTTGTCCCTGCTCCCAGCACTCCTGCTGAGACCTACCCTGCTCCTCCTGCCACCACTCCCACCCAGGTCACTGCCGGTGCTGGACGTGTCGGAGGTAGTGTCGGAGCTGCTCTCTTTGCGGCTGGTTTCGTCGCCTTCTTCCTGTAAATAATTTGACTGCTCATACGGAGCAACGAGTATATGACGGTTTGGAGATATATACGCTGCATAGTACATGCACCTATTACCTGCACCTATTACTTTCTATTAGATAATTTCTTAGATTAATTATATTTACGGGCATGAAGCCAAGTAAAGTATTTATTGTTCAATTATGTGATTTCCTTTGAGAATGTCGAGAGCATAGCTGGGATCAGGAATCTCATGTGCATGATAAAGGCTTAGTACATATTTCAAGCTCCTGTCACTTGAGCTGTTCTATATCTGCCTGTGTTGCTCATCATAGGACCACTAAGCCGACTCCTTGGACCGGAGTGACTCTGTCGACCACCCGCCTGGCAAATTTCTGTCGATGTTTGGGCACTGGGCACTATCTTGCTCCGCCAGTCGAATACTTTATTACTAATCAACGCCAACATGATAACGGGAACAGAGATGATGGTGGCTATGTAAACTATTTGGTCAAGCCAATAATAGGTCCAGCTTCTGTCGGAGGGGAGACTCACACAGACCGCGTAAAGCCTGTATCCTTGGTACTTAACAATGCCAGATCCATTGCTAAAGTTGGAGACATCGAGTGTGACAAGAGACTCGAGGGAAAAAATGAGAATTCCGGTAGGTTGCCGTCCCAAGTTATTGTCCTGAACCCTCACGAACCCGGCCTCTTTTATGCTGGCTTGTGTCTGGCACAGATCAAGGAGCTCTGCCACATCGGTTAGGTTTTGGAGGAATCGTTTAATGGTAATTAAATGAACTCTCGAAGACATTGACGTCTCTACCTCTGCTGTTAGACCTCCTGGGTCATCCTGGGCACCTGCTGGCATGTATAGGTCAGATTTCTGATGAAAACTGGCGACATCTGTTTCCAGACGGCATCTTGGTCATCGGCGAGTGAGCTGGCCATGCGGAGTTCATCTCGAATATTATGTATCGTCGCTAAAAGTGCAGTGTCAGGCGAGATGACGTGATGAGGGCTTGAAAGCGTCGGCTTGATTTCATGGCAAGCTCGATTTCGAGACCCGCTTTGTTGTCCTTTTCTGCTCTGGAAGATTCGCGGAAATCTTTGAACAGTGTTAATGCAGTTTTTGCTTGACGATCAGTTAGTACGAGATGTAGCCTGTATTCGTTGTTAAAGACTGAACTCAACACTTTCCAGATGGACTCTGGAGAGACGCCCTTTGGACATTTTGTTGACCACTAGAACAGGTCAGGGGTCATCTGTTCGAAAAACAGATAGATTGACTGGGGGTGCAAAGAGGCTGTGCGTCACCGCATGTGAACGTATTCTTTGTTGCTCTCAGTAAATGACGATGGTGCTTCTTCACTGTCGTGGCTGTGATGACGGTCTCTGTAACAGCTTGGTTGCTAGGAATACCGGGGCACGGCACCCGTTAGACCTCCTCATAAAAATTCCAGAATTGTAGTTGGCCCACGATCGATATCCAACGGGCCTTCACTCGACCTCTGGTAGACGTTAAGATCTGGAAAGTGTTACTGGTCTCTGAGGTTTGCTTAGATCCCAGCCAGGGAGCCTAGAAAAGTCATGTTCACTCTGCTGCAGCTGCATTGGTGACCATTGTATGTATAGTAGCACTGGATGCTGGTACAAGTCCAATACCTGCATTAGATGCCTAAGTAGGTATGTAACTTGAGACATATTCTTTTATGCCTTTAAATTAAATCAAGTTCTGTCTGATGATCTCGACTCTCAGACATAAGTGCATTATTAAGTATATCATAAACTGTTATTATCCTTGATCTATATAAGTGCTTCTATCTTTTTCTATATATATCCAGGGTATCCTAGGTTCTCTCTGCCGGAATAAGCTCTCAGCCACAAGTCTCAATTGCAAATAATCCAGGGTATCCAATCTTGCTTCCTAGTCAGACATAACAGTAGACTCATCCCAGCGCTCTGTACTAGCATCTCCCATCCCCCTTAGCTCGTTCTGCTCAAGCGACGACGCCAATTTATCGTCCTGACCCCATAGCAGATAAACTGGATCGAGAAAATTAAAGACCGCAATAGCCACAACCATAATGGCACCATCTAAACCGATGAAGTATCCTTCATGAGTAATCAGGTAACCACTCCAGCCCTGCAGAAGCTCAACGGTTCGGTAGATGCTTCGGATGAAAATCATGGTCAAGGAAATAAAGACGGCAGCCAAGAGCCAAGTATAAGCCTTTGGCAAAGCGTTGCCATCAGATAGGCCTTGCTTCCTCGACTGCAAGTAGCACTTTTTGACAAAGACTCTTCTCAGAAAGTCAATGACTAAGACGGCGAAAACCACCATGGCTGCCATCTGGAAGACAATGCCAGCGACCTGTCCCATCGTTTGATATTAGTTTTTGCATCTCCATTGCCACACAATAGTAAATAATTATAGATCTTACCATGATGTTTGTTCCTGGCTTTGTATCACCGTCAATCTTGTCCGACTCCGTAGAGGCCATGGCTCCTCCGACAGCTTGTACGATGAGAGCGATGATATCGCATGTCAGAAAGACGATTGCATACATCCTAGGTCCAAGGATAGAAGATTCACGACCAAGTCGATTGATGAAGGCACCGAGTATAATGTAGAGTCCTGCTGTAATAAATGTCGGGGCGATGATGAGAGTCGTAATCTGCATCAAGAACGCGTTGTTGTTGTATGGACATTCGCTTGACCATGTTCGACCAGCCCAACCAATTACTTCAGCTGATCGATAGGTATCAGCAACTCTTCACGCTTGCGACTGAGATCATGGAAGGGAATTTTGACATACTCAGAGCTCCGACTCCAAAAGCAAATGATGTCCATTGGCGTTTCCTAACGAACTGGATAAAATGGCCAAAAAGACTCAGACCAAAGAGAACGCAGAAGGCGATTCCAGCCCCCAAAGTGGGGACATACCCGTAGGAAGTGTCGATTCCTTCTATCAAGCTCTGACATCCCGATCTTAGTGTATCGACCTGTTCTTGGGTGAGTGGTCCCGACGCATCCGTAGTGTTGGACATCTCGAAAAGGTGGCTCTGGATTCGTTTCAGTTCAGCTGGATTCGGAGTTATGAATTGTAAGTCGCGGTTGAGCTATGATGCGAAAAAATAGTGGTGAATAATGTATTCACTCGCTATCGAGGATGGTGTTTGCATGAGGATGGGATCTAAGATAATGGGAGACATTTTGGTATAAATATGTGGTCTGATCATGACATTATCCACCCGGTGTCCGCGGGGGCCCATTTCCAACCAGTTGGGCGTTGAGGTTATATTTATAAAACGTCAGAAAATTCCAAGACACACGTTCCGGGCTTTCCGGTTGAAGAAAAGCTTGAACAGCCAACTGCCCCCGTACGTACAGAAGCGTTCCCATTTTATATTGAACACTTCTGAAGTTGCTCTATCAGATACAAAGTCTCATAATAAGAAGGAAATTCAGCGTTGACCTTAGAGATATGTGCTATGCGAGCTGGCCAGCGACGTCGTTGCGTGGAGTTCCATAGGTATGCTCTCTGGCGAAATCTTGTAATTGAATCAGCCGCTTATCTAAAAACTGCAGACCGCCAATCATGACACCTATGCAAAACTCTATTGGTAGCTGTTTCTCCCTTGCTCAATAGCTAGTGACATAAGCTTTACGCATACAACATAAAACATTCCGTATACCCGGCGGGAGGCTCTTTTGACGTGCCGGACATCGAAAACCGGTATAAGCGAAAAGTCTGTGACGTAACACCCCAAACCTAATCAGATAAGACGACAGCCCATTCGGGTCAATATAACAACCGCGCCGTAAGCCGCACGTCGGATATCCGTGGATACGTCATCCGGCGAGTAGGTAGAATATCGGACATTTCAACAGGATTCAACCGGCAAATGTATTTCTTTAAAATGGAGCTCTGTGCTATGCGGAAGATTCTTCAAGTAATACTCGTTCTTTCTTCAACATCTTATTTAGAGTTTGCTAGCAGATCTGCTCGGGCTGAGGTCAGTCTTACAGAGCCAATCTTCCGAAACTCCGATGCAGGGGTCCAAGCCAAACATTATTTTGCCATAGCCGCTTAGTCAGGGGACAATAAAGAGTCACACATCGGTCACCCGCGGAGGGAGAGTTGCTTGTTTTCAAGCGACCATTACTGAGTAACTCATCGAGGGAAAACATCGACGTGCTTTTTCAGGCCTGGTTGTCTCTTTCATCTTGCGATCCCTTATCCAATTACAGCTGCAAATAAGAACCAGTAGCCGTTCTTACTGATACCACGGCGGTGAATTGACATTCAAGCATAGGTATGTCGACTAATATGCTAGGACTCTAGGTTATTCCTGATATACGATATCGAGTATCGATTATGCGTTCTTGCATGGAGTATCTAATCGGATAGCAATACGCGGGTCAAGGCTGCAGGTAAAGAGAATGTCAACAGCGACAAACTAGACCAGCGATCTCGTTTCTTGACCTTGCAAGGTGAAGCTAGGGAGTGTTCCAGGTGAGCGGATAGCCACAGGGTACAGGGGCACGTTAACCGCGTACAAGATCGCGACCCGCGTAAAGAATTAGGGGCGATCACATTCATCACAGACAGTCTTGGCAATGAAACATAGATCTTTAACAGCAAATGTTGCGCAAGCATCAAAGAGGTTTCGACTCAGAATCAAGGGAATACTTAGTAAAAGGGAGGTAATAAAAGATTACAAGCTGTCTTGAGTCTTTGAAGCTTAGTGTCAAGGGCTCAAAGATCTGGTTACTATGAAGAGACACCCGCTCAAAACACAAGCGACTCAAAAAACTGCTCTCCAAGAGCTCCCACTTTCCGATATGCGAGACTACACAAGACATGATTGCATCAGTTCCCCTGACTAGCCTAATGCGAAAATCCATTAAACAACCAGTGAGCATCGACAACAAAGTCGCAAGACCCAGAAATAAGCTTAAACAATTAGTTCAATAGGCGGAAATTTTATTAAATTAACGTCTCAGGCCCTCCACGTGCAGCTTACGCCATCACCAAAACTTCAGACGAACAGAAACAATTAACCTTGACTGTTGAACTGACTCTGTAACATGTCCCTGGAGCTTGGGCCTATTACCGCGCGCTTGGGGCCGGGGCCTTATCCGAAAAAGGCGTGCGGCTCCACGAAGCTGAGACGACGTGGTTTTCCACCACTGTGAATTGAGATGCTTCTTGGCGGGCGATAACAAGCGTCGATCACTAAATTCGATGAGATATGGTAAAGAAACATTTATAAAACGTGAAACTCTTGTCGTCTTGTTTTTCGTTTCTTCAGCTTAGTTTCTCGTCTCAAGTGCAGTGCATTCACTCTTTTTTTCTACATTCCATTCCATTCTTTCTCTTCACTGTGTGAAGCTGGTCTATTACACTCCTTTTCAAAACCATTACCTGACTTTTCATCAACTCCACCAATCCCCTCTTTTCAAAGAATCAACATGTCTTTCAAGGTCGCTGCTACTCTCGCTGGCGCTTTCGCCTCCGTCGCCCTCGCCCACGGAACCGTCACCGGTATCAAGGTCGACGGAACCTACCAGGCCGGCTACGATCTCAGCTCCTACTACAAGGCCCAGCAGGGCGGCGAGATCCCCACCATTGCTGCATGGTCCGCTGAGAACCTCGACAACGGCTTCGTTCCCCCCTCCGACTATGGCACCTCCGACATTGCCTGCCACAAGAAGGCTGCTCCCGGCAAAACCTCCATGTCCGTCAAGGCTGGTGGTACCGTTGAGTTCCAGTGGTCTGACTGGCCAGAGTCTCACATTGGTCCCGTTCTGACCTACGTTGCCAAGTGCTCTGGGAAGTGCACTTCTGCTGACCCTGCTACTCTCAAGTGGGTCAAGATCGACGCTGCTGGTCTGGATGGAACTTGGGCTGCTGCCGATCTGATCAAGAACAACAACACCTGGACTACCACTGTTCCTGAGACTCTTGCTGCTGGTAGCTATGTCTTCCGTCACGAGATCATCGCTCTTCACGGTGCTGGTTCCAAGGATGGTGCTCAGAACTACCCTCAGTGCTTCAACATCGACATCACTGGTTCTGGAACCGATGAGCCTGAGGGTACCTTGACCACTGAGCTCTACACCGACTCTGAGCCCGGTATTCTCTTCGACCCTTACAAGGGTTCCACCACCTACGAGATCCCCGGACCTGCTCTGTACGGTTCTGCATCTGGCACCAAGCCCGTCGTTCCTGACACTCCCTCCAACGGAACCATCTCGACTCCTGCTCCTTCTACCCCTACTCCCGTTGCTCCCACTCCTGTCGCCCCTACTAGCCTCGTCACCTCTGTTGCTGCTGCTGCTACTCAGGCCGCTGAGGTTCCTTCCACTGAGGCCCCTGTCGCTGAGGAGGAGGGTACTGAGGATGGCGCTCTCCCCAAGACTTTTACTCTTGATACCTTCATTGACTGGCTCCGCTCCAAGAACGGTGCCTCCAAGAAGGTTCGCCGTCACGCTCGCCAGTTCTAAGTTATCTGAGATACACTTGGTAGAAACGCGATGTGTTGAAGGAAGGGAACTGTTCCTTTGAAAGGTCAGGCTTATTTTATATGTAGATAATAGTGAATGCGCTTGCAGAAGTCAAGCCCATGTACAATATAAAAATCCAAACACTCTCAAGAGCCCACTTATACGTGATGTCGAATGTTATTACTGAAGTGCACGAGTACCAATGCATGACCGCAACCTTCCTTCATGAATAATACACTAGCTATTCAATTTCAATACCTTGAGTTTAGCACAAAACCTTTCATAGACAGGTTATTCACAACAAACACTGCCAGTGCCTGGAACGTGACTACATAAAACAGCTGAAGCCCGTGATTTAAATTGCCATATTCTTACATGAGCTGATCCGGTATGAATCCTTTTCATATGGAGTCTTACTCTAGGAGATAGAACCTCATGGCGAAGAGTACATTGATTCCGTTTGAAACGTGGACAACCCGAGAGGCAGGGTACAGTGCGGCAACGGAGGGTTCTGCAACTACTGCCTGAAGCTAGCATTCTCAGACTTGCATTGTCTTTTCCATACCCAAAGATTAGTTGTTTGTTGGGTGTAGATGCGAACTTCGTCTATAAGGTTTTTTGAGATAACACTCAATGATAGCCCGGCTTACGAGAAGAGTCTAGCCACAATCACCATAACCCTGGACTGAAACGAAGGTTAACTCATTAAGTAGTGCATACCGAGCACCTCTCCTGCGGATATCCTACTGACTCTTGACTTGTGTTTGAAGGGCCAAGATTGTGTAGAGCGTAGCGGACTCATCCCTCGAGAAAACCAGTGTCCGGGTAAGTCATCATTAAACTACTGTAAAGGGGACTTGCAATGTTAATCTTGATGGATAAGGACTTCAATTAATGGCAAAAGGAGCCTTGGGTATCTGAAGAACGGTTTGACAGCAAGTGACATGACAGCCTGTGTGATCCACGAAGCCAAACATTGCCAAATTCCACTGTGTCATAATGAGATTCCACAAAAAGGATTCTAATATTACTCGCAGTATATGAAGCGCTGTAAAGCCTCTCATCGAGATTTCTAAGTCAGGGCCAGTCGAGAGCCAGTAAACCTTGGTTTTGCGTCTACCAATTGGACTGTAAACTGGCGCTCAAGGGTATATCTTGTGGATATGGTGTCCTGAGCGTATAGATATGCTGGGAGCTCTGCAATTGCGATGGACTATTGGTAAGGCTATCAGTTCACGGACTCCAGCTACGAAAGTTATGGGCACTTTTATCTTCGCCACTTTGTAACAGCCGCGAGACATCGGCAATGGGCATTGATCAAGGACCTCACCAAGCTGACAGAGGATATATTATTGCTGTTACTTTACTGAAGAGCCTATAAGACGTATCATGAAAGAAATAGCCTCTCTCATTGCAGGTGTCAGGCGATCGACAAGCCGAAGTCTCCGCAGACCGCGGAGCAGGGTTTTGAGAGGGAGGCAAAGAATCAATGTACGACCCAGGTAAAGGAAGAAGTTCAGTATACCTACGGTGCACTGCGAGCATTATTTTAATTCAAGCTATGCATAAATGATAATACCACCACGGTCTCTCATCCAGCCATGATACGATCGGATGTGTCAGATCCGGCAACTAGAATCTCGTTCCGCACCCTGCAGAAAACAAGACAAACGAGGGATTGGCCCTTTGCCGCCCTCAATTACCAGTCAAATCGGTTTTAGCGTATTCGTGAATGCCGTTAATTCTGGCTATTCTATAATACAAGTCTGCATTGCGACCCTAGCGTAGCATCAGGCCGAGGTCGTTTATGCATAACCCCGCGTCGTCGAATGTCCAACGGCCTTTTGAGGACTGTCCCGTGAGCTTTTAATTGGTGCGGTTGGTCGGCGGACATCTGGCAGTTATGTACCTACTTGGTTTGGATCTTGTGTCCGTGATAGGTAACGAGCTCATGATGTGACTTTTATATGCTGCGGTTTATGCCTGCCAGAAATGAGGTATGGTGTAACCTGGTTGGGTTTATTCCAAGAGAGCTATCCATGGAATCATGCTTTGCAAGTGATACTGGTATATGTGATATGGATTGAGTGCCTAAAGCGGTATTGAATATATCTTTGTAATGATTACGATGGTATTGCTTGGCAGCCGAATAAACCTCTTGCCGAGTTGATGTTCGTGATATCATCTAACATAAATACTCCTCTTGTCACCACTTTTACGTCTTCTACCTATCACTCTCAGAAGCCTTTCCACTGCATACAAATCGCCCTACATCAGTGATATTCAGAAACTACATAAATCATCCATCATGAAGTACCTTTTCACCCTCGCTCTGGCCATCCCCGCCATCATGGCCACTCCTGCACCAGTCCCCGACAAGACTGCGAGCACAGAAGTGCAAGCCTGCGCCTGTATTAACGCGCAAGGTCAAACCACGGTAAGCGGCTACTGCCAGTACATCCGCGGCCGCGCCGAACGACTCGACGGTGGAGAGCTTGTAAGTAACTCTTGTTTCCCATCGGATGTTATGTTTTGCTAACTTCGCGATACTTAGTGCTACCCTAGCGACAAATATTCGGACTACATGCCCGAGAGATTCACTGCCGATTTCTGCAAGGGCTACTTTCCGGGCTATAACGACCGCGTCTGCAAGACCAAGACTGTGTGCCCGCTTATTGGAGACTACTGGGTTCCCTGTTGAGTTCTTTAAGCCTTGATGGGAGGCCGGAACGCCTTGATGTTAATTTCTATGGATATATTATTAGTGTCTTTACTGTGTTGACTTCAAGTTTGGAACTTGAGGCCTTAATTGAATTCCTTTTACCCGCATGCCTACAGGCTTGTCCCATTGCCTCTCACTGTCTACAAACTGCAAATCTGTCCCCCCGCTATATTGGATTAAGTGATCAAGATAAGTACGTATCGGAAGCAACCAATGAGAAGCAACGGAGACTCCGGCCCCCGCGGTCCAGTTGAAAAGCCTCCCTCCCCTCACACAGATCTGACCTGAGTGGGGTTCTCTTTTGGTCAAATCAACAAGTAGTGGCAATCCTCTCCAACTACAGCACTAACTACTAACTATGGCTCCTCCAGAAAGGAGGATACTGCTACCCAAGTCCGAGGCCAGAGCTCAAGGCTGAAATGACCATGAAGCTGCTGTAGCCAAACGCAGAACCCTTGCCCCGCGGAGACGCAATGCTCCTGTTGCGTGCCAGAGTGAGTTTCCAGGGCCAGAATTTCAGTGGCAAATCTGACCAACAACCTATCTATCTATAGCCTGTCGGGCACGCAAGGTCAAGGTAATTTCTTGACTCCATTTATTGCAATTCAGTCTCTGCAGCGGCAGCTAATAGTCAAATGATAGTGCGGAGGTGCTCGTCCAAAATGTAATCAATGTGAAAAGGCATCAATCGACTGTGTCTACGACTAGCCAGCTGGCCTCAATCACCGCCAAGCAGATAAAGAGCAGATCGCCAGGCTCCAAGCCACGGTCGAGCATCTCCACCAACGCGTCTCAGCGCAAAGTACTCCAATCTCTGACCAGCTGACAGCTTCCCTGAGCCCTAGGCCGTTGGGAGCATCGCCAGCTGGAAGTATCTACCCAGATGTGCAGTCCTCGGCAGACCTGGTCGAATTGCTCAGAGATCGGCCCGAGGAATTCGCCCTGCAAGTCTTGGAGTCTCTACGACAAGGCCGCTCCCCGAAAGACATTATGGATTCTGTTGGTGGCAATTTGTCCGTGAATGTTAACCCGTCGATACATCTTGCAGCTAGAGGCAGTGTCACCCCAACACAAACACCGCTCGAGTTCCAGCTCGTTGTTCAGTATCCAAATGTCTATTTGCCTCTCATCCCTGTCGATGCAGCTTCTCTGGACCTAGGGCTACTCGGCATCGAGCCACAGAATGCCGATATCTTTCAGGACCCGGGCCTATCAAATCTTCTCCATGGCGATGTATCGAGTGCAACGGTGAACAGAGTAGTCCAACCGCAGGATGTGTTAGGCAGAACATCATTCGGCGTCGAGAACGGTATTTTTATCGACTCTCGTCTTCATCATGTCGACATTTCACACTGGACAAGTATCTCCGTAAGTAACCAATTCGCCGCTGAGGCTATCGCCTTGTACCTCAACATGAACCAGCCATGGTGGGCATTTTTCGACACGGACCTATTTCTAGATGATCTGGTCAATGTAGAGACCAACTTCTGCTCCGGGATGCTGGTCAACGCTCTTCTTGCCTGGGCCACTGTGAGTCTTTGGAATACTCGGTCTACGTTGGTCAACAGTTATCACTAAGCTCGCCTCACAGCAAAGCTATACCCACTATGAACCGATGGCCGCGACACTACCGAAAAGATTTCTGGATGAGGCCTTGCGGATCTACGATGTAGAGAAAGGCGTTGATAGTCTGACAACTGTGGCGGCGACATCTTTGATGAGTATGACCTGGACAACTCTAGGAAAAGACAAAGCTGGGCGTCGCCTGCAAGAAGACAGTGCCAGAATGGCACAGCGCATGCGGTTGTATGGATAACCAGAGGTCACTTCGCGTACTGTGCTTGATCTGAGTGATGAGCGTGTTGAAATGGCAGCATGTGCAACTGCTTGGGGATCATTCAACTTCCAAATGTACCGTCTCATGAACTATGTCACGTGGCAGTGAAGCTGACAGTCGCTAGGGTCATGTCAATGAGCTATCACCAAGAGCCGATCCCACAAAGGACATCCAAGTTTCGCATCCCGGGGAAGAATTTGTTTGCAGCGCAACACGACGAACCCAGTCCAGATGCAACCTATACAGCCGTCTGCCAATTCTGGCTGATGGTATTTGACATGAACTACCTTTACTACCTTGAGCGATCTGTTTCCATGGCGTCAGCCGTGGCTATCTTCCAGAGATTGCTAGGCTGGGCTGATGCTTTGCCAGGCGGAGTGCAACGTCATGAAAACAACCCAGACCATGTTCTGAATATACAGTAAGTCCATCTACAGTAAAAAGCGCACCCGAAGCTGACTGTACCAAGAATCTGGTTCCATACAGCCATTATTGACCTGTTCCGCCCCTTCCAACACGACTTCCCGCAACCTAAACTCCCGGCCTTCGCAGGAGTGAACGCCACACCCAGAGCCGTTATAGAAGCATCGATTGAGCAACTGAAACGCCTCGTATATCAATACCGTGAACGCTGCGAGTCATCCAAGTACTCCATCATCTGGCAAAGCGGTATGCTCTACCTCGTCAACCACATACTACGAGATTTATCCAGTAATGAATCACAATTTTACTTCCAACTCTGCATGCGCGGCTATCAGCATCTAGCTCGCTACATGCCTTTTGTTAGTGGCATAGTGCAGAGTCTGATAGTCATGACGAACCGGCAGGGTGTTCCTTTGACAGCCAACGCGCAGCGGCTACTCGAAGAGGTGCGGGATGAGAGTCGTAGGAGTCGAGAGTTCTTCAGCGCTTATCCGGTTGATCTTGAGATGGTGTCTAAGGACCCTTCTTCTGCATCGTTGGAGAAACTTACTAGCCGTTTCCAAGAAGAACCCTCGGGGACGGACCAGAGTGAAGGATCTGATAACGGAAGTTTGCCAGAGGGCTGGAAGGGTACCGCCCAGGATCTGACAACCACGCTTTCTATGCTGGAAGATGATTGAAACAAAATAGTAAACCCCAATACAAGTACAAATAGCCTATTACAAGGCAGTTACCTTTAATGGTCATGAGTGCTTTATGTGACTGGTGATATGCCAAAATGACTTGCTCATGTTCTTGAATATTTCCGTGAGACTATGTCCCAAGGCACAAGAAGATGACAACATAGTATTGTAATCTCTATGATTCGGTTTGTTCTCTCGCCTTACAAGAGCAACAAAGGTAGAAGTTCATCCCGTGCGGACCGATACCTTCTCCTATTCCATTTGTCGTCTCAACCCGTGTTGTTGCGTGGCCCTTCTGCTCTCTCAAATCGCGATTGATTTCTTCCATTCTTTGGTGACACCATTTCGATTCTTCTAAACTCTCACTCGACGGACCGGAAAGTCTGGGTAGTAGCTTTCTGTGGCAGTACCTCTGAAAAATCGGCAGATCCGTGCTGGATAGTTCAACAAAGTAATCATCCACACCGAACATGACGGGCTTTATAGTCTGGGGATAATCCCTCAGATTGAGGACATCTTCGAGTTCATGACGACTGGAAGTTGCATCGTTCTGCACTACTTGTTGTAAAAAGATCTGAACAAGGATGGACATGCTGATTTCCACATAGACGACTGTGTCAACGTCCCGGTGGCGTCTGTAAGTGACCAAGTTTGGCATCCCAGTTATAGTTTTGCTCAGGAATAATGTAACAAGCATGTGATCTCTGAGGCACAATGAATAGCGGTAATCCCTAATCATACTGAGCATGACGCTAATTCTTTGAGCGTCCCACGATGATGCAGGGTAGGTGTTGCGTTGCAGGATCCGGAAAGTATCAACAGAGGAAATAAGAAAGCTCGCTATGCTCGCTTTTACCACAGTATCGCTGTTTAGTTGCTGTCCACCCGGAGTCAATATATGGAATTTATCGGAAACAATAATCGAAAGAATGCGTTGTATAAGACGTTGCTTTCCAGCCCATCCGCAATCATCAGAAGGCAAACCGTAAGCTTCAAGGCAAGCAATTAGAATTTTATACAGCACATCGAACTGTCGAGTACTCTCCCATTCGATGAGATAATCTCTCATATAAGCATCGAATCCTTTAGAAACAACGCGCAATAAGTAGTCCAACTTGCATATCCGCTTGACGATGCCTACACTTGGGTCTAGGTGTATCGGGAGACTTTTAGTCATTTGAACAAGAGAGATCCATAAAAGATCTAGCATTTCGACTAACGCCGAACCGTGGATGATATCGGCGTGATATGAGAGTAACTCAAGCTGAACATCTAGGTGTCGCCATGCTGACAACCAAAGGCGATCTTCCTCGTTTTTGCCCGATGTGTATCGATCTTCGGGCAATAGGCAATTTCGGAGAAGACGCGATCTAAACATTCTGATGAATATTTCTTCTTGAGACGCCTCGTGGTGCCCCATAATCTTCTTTCCATCCTCTGTCTCGATAAGGAAGTCGAAGACCGTTCGGTGAACAGCCTCGACCCCCAGATTGCCGTAACTAATCACAGAGGAGTTTAGCTTGTCAGCCGGGTGTTTTTCGTCTGATCTCTCGCGGTCCTTAGCTTGAACGAACTCAAAGAAGTTGGCCGTTCTGGCTGGCAACCTGGTCAGCAGTTCCTTGCACCGTTGCTCAAGGTCTGTGGTAAAGAGCGTATCAACTTCTTCAACAGGCGTGGACCACAGATTGTCACTTGACGCCAACATCAATTCCAGAAGAGATATTGGAGCTGCCGAAATGAACAGTGGAAAGACAAATGCTTTGGCTTTGTGGGATGTTCGCCAGTTGAAGAGGACAATCTTGAAGATGAGTGCAGTCGAACGCTGATAAAGATCTGAGTCCTCGCCCAGCCTTGTCCACATATCAAGGTATAGCTCGTGGAGCTTCTTGGGAGTCTTTAAAAGCCGTTGTTGTATATCATCTTTCGAGTCTCCGTTAGAGATACCTCGTGCAATTGATCTTGTTACCAGAACAGCCCATAGAAATACTCCTTCTGCCTTAAGGCTGATATCTGTCACAAGATTCTCGATATGGATTGAAGAGTTCGTCAGAGCAACCTCCTTGTTAAGACTGGCCCGCGCGTATTGCGCGATATCATTTCGTGTCAAATCTTGCATTTCGATGTTGGGATTCCGACCCATCCGCATTCGTATGGCTTGTTCTGGACGGCTTGACATGCAGACCTTAAATAGATGGGAAGGTTCTTCTAGAGTATCGAGAAAGTCGAATAGGATACCTACACCTTCATCGTCCATAAGCTCATCAAGTCCGTCAATGAAAAGACAGAAAGGTCGAGCGGGCTGCCTTGCGTAACTGTGAAGTAGGCATTGGAGATCGTCCTTGTCCCAATCGCCAGGTCCAGTCTTACGAGACCAATCGGGGTTCTGATGGAGACAGCCCACTGCATGATTCTTATCCAGAGAGAACACTTGATAAACGAGGGAACACAAGAAGCCCTCAAAGCTGCTTTGCGTAGGACTGCCAACCTTCCAGAAGAAGTGGCTGAGGATATGGGCTTCAGGTTGCCATTGTCGCAATGAATCCATTGTTTGTTTGTGGGAGATAATCAACTTCATGAGCACACTCTTTCCGGTTCCAGGCCTTCCGCTTATCCAGTACCGATTCCCTGTCGATTTCAGCCATGTTCCAAAGCTGCCGCGGGCCAACATTTGACGATAAGAGTCTGGCTCATCCTCAGAAGAATACTCTGCCTCGTGCTCAGAAACAGAGTCTGACCGAGAGGTCTCTGATTCCGGATAATCATCCTTAGATTCTCCCTTGAATAGCCAGTGAAAGGTCGACCCATTGGAGGCGTGTATCTCGTTTCGTCGACGATTCATATCGGGGTACTGGAAACTGCGCAAGAGCCGTTCATAAGCTTCATTCTCCTTTCGGGTATTTTCTCTCTCTTCAGCTTCTATCAAAAGAATGTCCCTGCCTTGGTCTGCATGCGACTTGAGTCTCGACTCCTGACTAGCAAGCGCTGTTGTGACATGAATCTTGGTAGATGCCTCAGCTTGGTCGATACGGTCTGATATTTGAGTGTTGACGAGGGCTACTTGTGCTTGAATAACGTCATGGAGTTTCTTTTCGTTTGTGGATGTTGCCTGAAGCAGGTCCCGAAGCTTGTCTTGCAGTTCATTGGCTTGCACCTTGAAGATGTCAAGGCTTTTGAAGATCCCGACGAGAAGATCCGTCTCCAGAGACTCTTTGGCTTTCTGTAGCTGACTTTCCAAGCGGTCGATTTCCGGCTTATTGATGATCCCTCGGAAGACGGCCCCAAAGCGATCTCGCTTTCGAGGTTGTTGTTGGGGAAAGGAACCGAGCTGGGGTTTTCTTCCTCCATTCAGCTTGGGCATCACGACAGTTCCGAGCAAGAGTCAATAGTCTCGCATCTTCGAGATTGAGAGGCTGTTGGGAGACCTCTAGCGATTGAGTCAAACTCGAAGCTGTGACTGCAAGATTTTGGGCGTAGACACTGAGCTCGGGATCAGGTTCGCTAGTGCGATAGGCATTCTTGCAGAGCGTGGCGGTTTTCAGTCCGACTTCGACTAACTGGAGGACGTTACACACGAGCCCCAAGGCCGCAAGTGGCTCGAGGCCCGACATTCTGCTGGCTGCTCTCTGAAAAGCTTATTTCGCTTCGGTGGACCAGATGCTGAGAGTGAATCTGGGTGATGAGTTGAATGCTTATTCTGCGCCAACCTCTTGTTTTGAGTTGAGGCCTCAGGTGAGAGCCTCGTTGGGCTGGCTTACCCCGCAAGCCACAATGCTACCCAATGTCGTACAAACATGACAATGTCCAATAAGCAAATAAGTAAATTACAATGACGATAATAATCCCGAGAAACGTACGGATAGCGCTGGTTTAGAGGAGCGAAAACGGGATTCCGGTAAGGTTGGCGCTATGAATTAACCGATGGGCCCCATATCGGACGCTAAATGTTAGATCCCGACCGAACGCCGACGCGCTACCAGTATCGCAGATAGTGTAAATGGCATCAGCCTTCGGAAGCCTTGACGCCGAACCAAACGATATCGTCGCATTTCTAGGGTGATGAGGCAAGTCCGTTTGGAACAGGCCAATCAAAGAGGCGTGCTTCATTGTCGCGAGGGGCATAATTCGGTCAGTCATTTGCGACGGTTTGGAGGTGACTCATCCATTTCCCCAATGCTCCCCTTCATTGGCACAATCAAAACGTAGAGTATTCCTTCGACAAATAATGCGTCTCCAATGAAAGTTATACCCCCGATTGGGTTTGTCTCCAAAGATGACACAGAGAAAATGCTGACCTAATCCCATGAGTGAACCTTATAGGGCTGACGACTGCAGCCTCGATGCAACCCGCGACGTCTGCCTAATCCAGGCTGAAAGGCAACACTGTTTTTTTCAACCCTCATCATCCTCCCCCTCAAACCCATCAAAAGCTGCACTGCATTCCATCCATTTCTGAGAGCTTTTGTATCAAATAATCACCAAAATGTCACAAAGTCGTTCAGATTCTATCGCCGACGACTGGCTTGAGGTCGAGAGCGCTGCATCCGTCATTTCGATGGATTCGCGGCCATCGTCACCATCGCCATCCCCGTCCCCTCCCC